AGAAGCCACTGTTAGCATAACTAGAGCGAGACAGATGCTTCCTTTTCACACAGAAAAAGTGGTAGAAAGCCTTGAAGATGTAGTAAAAACAATGTTACTTAAAATCTTCATTGAAAGTTACCATGTTACCTGCTGGGAAGTGGGCAATTTTAAGACTGCAGGGAAAAGTCTTCCATCATATTCTATCTACTTCTTTGCAAATGGCTCTGTAAAGTATCATTATTCAGCTCCCTTGTCTGTCCCTATGAGTAGAATAAGGGTAGTTTCAGTAGCTTAGGAAAGGTTTCCTTTTTTCTTTCACAGCCTGCAAGAGGTAAAGTGCACAAAGGAAGGAACATGTTAGCACCTACTACTCTCAGTGCACACTACACTCTGGAAAGACACATACTTCTTAGTTCAGAAACCTAAGAGATACTTAGCTAAAATTATATAAATTACTAGAGGCCCAGTGCACTTGGGGTGGGGAGGGTTCCCTTAGACTGGCCTTCGCCCTCTCACAGTCCTGGACCCCCGGGGGGATGTCCAATTGCCAGCTTAGGCCCTAGGCCAGCAGTCAGATATCCCCCAAGGGGTCCTTAGCCCTGCTGTGGAGACAGGAGAGGTTTCTGGCTGAGCCAGGCTTCTGGCTTAGCCGTGTTCCCCCTGTAGGAGCACACTGACTACCAGGGGTCAGCTCCTGCATTGAGCGTCTGCCCTCTGGTGGTCAGTGCACATCATAGCAACCAGTCATTCTGCCGTTCGGTTGATTTGCATATTAGCCTTTTATTATATAGGATAGGTAGCATTTCCTATGGGTTGTAGGAAATTACCTACTGGAGAAATTTCTACTAAGCTGCTCACCAGGAAGTCTAACTCCTGCTTTACAAGCAACTTGGCAGCAGAATTCCTGTGGAAGGAGAAAATTGTGGCCATCTCCTCCCCCCTTTAGGTGGACCTCTGCCACAGTCACCTAGTGAGAATCACGGTTTTTAACATAAAGCCAAAGACTGGCAGAGGGATTTATTTCCCTTTGGAGGCAATTAAATGAATCAGGGTAAAATGGAATCAGGGTAAAATGGGATTTGGTATTGTCCTCCCTTTGGCCTTCCACCCATTAAGCAAGATAAGATTTGCTGCTTCCAAGGCTGCTTCTGATAAGCACAGGAGATTCGAGGAACTGCTGTTGTGAAAGCAGCGTGGGCTCCGGATTGAAAAGAAGACATGCAAACAAACCATGTTAGATGGCAAAGATAAGAGTGAAAAGACAGCCGGGACGGTTTGGCTCAAGGTTTGGCTCAAGGTTTGGCTCAATATAGAGTATCGGCTAGGGGACTGAAGGGTCCCGGGTTCGATTCCGGTCAAGGGCATGTACCTTGGTTGTGGGCATATCCCCGGTAGGGGGTGTGCAGGAGGCAGCTGATGACTCTCTCATCGATGTTTCTAACTCTCTATCTCTCTCCCTTTCTCTCTGTATAAAATCAATAAAAATATATTTAAAAAAAAAAAAAAAAGAGTGAAAAGACAGAGAAAAGGGCTCTATCCCCAAACCAGAAAGTAACTTAGGTCAGTTACAACCAGAAAAATAGCCATCTCTCTGTAGCTGCTAAGTGGTGTGACTAAATTTTATATACTAAGTACCCCAAGACTTCTCCCAACCTTATCTGTTTAGCATGTGCTGACCATATTCTGTTGCAGCTAAATACTGTCCAGCAAATTAGTCATAGAAACCCAGAGTTAGACTCCTCTAGGGTTTTGAGAAAGTAGTAACTGATTTGACAAGCACATTTACTTTTCCAGGTTATATTTTGTCTGCCCACATGTTTGCCAGTCTCATCCCAACTCAGAAAATATAAACCCACCTCCAGTTTTTCCATCATCCTTACCGCCTTTTCAGTAACAGAACAGCTCCACAATGCTTGTGTGAACCTACTCCCCACTTCCTCCTTAAACACATTCCAGAACCAGCTCTGTCCCTTTGCTCCACTCAAACAGCAAACACTTCCTCTACCATCACCACCATTTTAAAAAACTGGTCAAATATAAAGGCTTTTTACTATTTGATTCCCAAGTTCTTTCTTCTTTAGCCTTAAAAAAGTAACAGAGAACTGCCTGGCCAGAGTGGTTCAGTTAGGTGAGCATCCTCCTGTGCACAGTTAGATCCCCAGTCAGAGAACATACTTGGCTTGTGGGTTCGATTGTCAGGGCATGTGAGGAAGGCAATTAAATGAATCAGGGTAAAATGCTATTTCTCTCTCACATCACTCTCTAAGCATGTCTTCCGGTGAGGATTAAAAAAAAAAAAAAAAAAAAAAAAAAAAAAAAAAAGAAAAGAAAAAGTAGCATAGGGCTTACTAAGAGTACAAGGCAGAGACCAGAAATACTTGCACCTTTCATGGCCCTATAATCTGTTCTTTTGACAAAAAAAAAAAAAAAAAAAAAAAAAAAGAAGGGCAATTCCTCTTCACTGCAGCAAACCTCAAACCTAGATCTTTTCAGACTTTCAGTTCTGCCTGAGTCCAGACAAATCCAGAGGACTCACCTGAAGAGCACGCTCTGGTTACTCTGCGTTCCAGGGCCTGCCCCTCTCCCAAAGGCAGAGAAGCAGTGATTACAGTTCTCCTATTCATCAAATTACTTCCTCCTCGCTTTCCCCTGTCCTCCTTTGGAGAGTTCTTACGAAGTAGTTCCTAGTACCACTGGAAACGATTACTCTCCAGGAAAATACAACTTTGCTTAGCAAAACAGCTTCACACAGAGCAATTTGCCAGCGGTCCATTTTTCATTCCAGACAAGACTGTAAGCCTGGCACAAACTGCCTGTCCCTCAGCAACTCACCCAGCTTCCCTCCCCTATTCTTTGCCTGGAACTCACTCACTCATGCCCTGAATTTGGTCACAGAAAAACAGCAATGACTACTCAATCACTGCATGTTAAAAGCCTCTTCTCAAACTCAAACATGTCTTCCGCTTCACACTGCCGTGCACAAATCGAACAGAAACACCAAATGAAGTCACTCACCACAATAGCAGCTTCCGGATAAAACATCTAATCTTTCCCCAGCTCAATGACAGCCCTGCAATTCTGCAGTCATGCATCGCTGGCCCCACCCTTACAAATTCATGCCCTGCAGTCAGAAGCATCATAGCACCATGTTGAAGAACATGTGCTTTGGCAGACAGGCCTGGTTCGAATCCCAGGTCTGCCTCTTATTAAAAATAAAAACCGCCTGCCCTTCAGTAAACTATTTTTTCTCTCTAAACCTCAGATTACACATCTGTAATATGCATCAAATAATCCTATCTACTTTAAATGAGATAATGTAAGCAAAATGCTCAGCACAATACATGACCCCTGATAAACAAGTGATGGTTGATATTCAGTATCCCTGGGGGGAAATCTGTGAGCAGGCATAGGGACCTTATAGACTCCAGGTGCCCCTGGAAGCTTCCAGAATTGGCAAAAGCAAAAATCAGCCTCATTCCACTCCGACCCCACAAATAAGAGGGGCTTTAGCAAAGGAAAAAAAACTGAGAGATCCATTCACTGTTGCCAATCCCACCACCAGTCCCTCAAGCCATGCTTTGCTCTATGGCTAAAGGTAAAGATCGGTGGAAATGAAAAAGCTAATGGAAGAGGAGCCCCTTCATGGGTCAGGTCAATATTCCAACAAAGTTGAAACATGTGCACTGTGGAAAGTCCCTTCTTATTCAGTGTCTGGTAAATTCTGACTCTCCATTTATGTACAAATAAAGGGGGGAAACAATATTGAAAACCCTACGGATCTCAACTGGTGCAGAATATCACCTAAGAAAAGAATACATGAGAATTAGGGGGAAAGAGAAATCTTGACATCTAATTTACACACACACACACACACACACACACACACACGCACGCACAAGCGAAAGAGCATTTTAATTCTTGTGAAAGACAGTAAGCCAAGAAAATAGAACGTTTCTCAAACTTTCAACAACAACAAGAAACTGTGGAGTTTTGGGGGGGGGGGGGGGGGGAGTGACATAAGGGATATTATTTTTGCTGTTCCAAATGGAAAAGTTCAGAATTTAATCCGAAACAAAACTCTGTAAGTTTACCGTCATCACAACCAGAAAATCTGGTAACAGCCAAGAAATGTCAGGTTGCCGAGATCTGGGAGGGTTAGGAGGTGGACAACAGAGGGGAAGCGGTAAGGAGAATTTTATTCTAAAATGATCATGGAGCTCAAGTTTTCTACTTTAAATGAACTTTACAGGGTTTTGAATTCAAAATCCAAGCATGTAGGGAGAGGACATAAAATCGATAGTGTTAAAGCTGGTAGACTGGGAATCAGAACATTTGGGCTCTAACTCCTGGCTCCAAACCAAACCACATGTGACTTTAGGCAAGTTACTGTAAGGGGTGGGAGAACAATGATCGCTAGGATTCTTACCGGCCTAACATCTTAAGGGTCAAAAAGGCGGGGGGAGCACAAATATCAGGAGCTCTCAGGACTTACAGACTTGACACAAGAAGAAAGGAAGGGAAATGAGAGCCACAGAGCAAGAAAACTTGGAATAACTGGACATCACAGGAAACAGAAAAGCTTCAAGATGGCCAAGTACCCCTAGAGTTCCAGGGAAGAGCGGATGTCAAGATCTCAAGAAAAAACTGCAAACTGCTCAGCAAATGTCAAAATGGACAGAAGGGGTATAAGACAGATATCCACCAATTATCTCCGTTAATCGATATTCGGTCTGTTTCAGGTTAACAGCCAGGAGAGACCTGAGTGCCGCGACCACGGAAATCACTGTGACTCCTGATGCCAGCCAGGGTGTCCAAGAGGCAAATAGAAGGGGAGTCCATGCCGGGGTCCCTCTAGAGAGGGGATCCGGAGAATGGATGAAAAGTGAAGACAGGGGGCAGAGGAAAGGGGGACCCGAGAGAGAGACTCTGCAGCCTGGCGGGAGGGGAAGAGCACAGCCAGCGCCAGACTCCCGCCCGGAGACAGGCAGTGCTGTGGGCATCTGGGCCCCGGTTCTCACCATCTTGACAATGCCCCGCTGCACGGTGGGGACCGAGGGTCCCCCGGAGGAGCCGCCGCTCTGCGCGGAGGAAGCCATGTGTAGAGACGGAAAGACAGCGAGAGAGCCGGCGTGGAGGTGTCAGCGTGGATGTCGGTGCTGCTGAGAGGCCGCGGAGCGAGGCGCGCGGGACTGGCGGCGAGTTGCAGACGATGAACGGGACCGACGCGCCGGACGATCGCAGGAGCAGCAGCAGGACTGGGATCGAAAAGGGAGACGCGATGCCTCTGCCGCCGCCGCCGCCGCCGCCACACGTTCTACTCGCCGCGCAAGCGTGCCAGAGCGCCCCCGCCCCCTGGCCAATGAGCACCCAGAGCCTGCCCGACCTCCAGCCAATAGGCACCCATCTCTCGAAGCCCCGCCCCTCTGTCCCAAAAGTGGAGGCGAACTCCAGGAAGCGCTGAAGGAGCTGATTGGCGGTGACGGCCTGATTCTGGGGCGGGACTTCCGGGGCAGCCTGGAAGGTAGTGTCGGGAGGTGTAGTGAGAAGAGAAGGACACGTCAGCATCTGGCCACGGGGCGCGGGGGTCCTTGGGAGGCCCGAGGGGTAGGGCCAGCTGCGCCCCACACCGGCCCGGCCCCGCCCACGGCGCCCCGCCCTGCGCCCCGCGGCTGGAGCCCACGTGGACGCCGGCGATCCTGGAGGGCACGGCGGGACAGGGACGTGCGTGCCGGGAGCCACCAAAGAGGCCAAGTCAGCCCTGGAGGGCTGTCAGGACTGGCCGCACACCGACTTCCGGCATTTTGCCTCAACTAAAAGTATGGGGAGAACTTGGGGAAGTCTGAGCATCGGGACACCTTCTGCCCACGTTGGCCCTGACACACGGGACGCGGCCGCGCTTCCTTCCTGTAGTCCGCCCGGATCGTTTGTCTCTCGGACTTGGGTCCCCGGCGTCTAACGCTTGTAAAAGCGCCCGAAACTGGTTTGCTTCAATGGATAGAGCGTCGGCCTGTGGACTGAAAGGTCCCGGGTTCGATTCTGGTCAAGGGCATGTACTTTGGTTGCCGGCACATCCCCAGTGGGGGATGTGCAAGAGGCAGCTGATTCATGATTCTCTCTCATCGATGTTTCTAACTCTATAACTCTATTCCTCTCCCTTCTTCTCTGTGAAAGATCAATAAGATATATTTAAAAATAAAAGCGCCCGATTACTGTTTGCCGGTGGAAAGAATCTTTAGAAGAATGACCCTCGCCCTTCCGGCTCCTTCCAGCTGCGCCAGGAAGTCAGGATCGGCCTCGCTGCCTGCTCCCTGAGTGTGTGTGTGTGTGTGTGGGGGGGGGGGGGGGGGGGAGGGGGGCGGGGGAGAGCAAGGCATACAAATATTTAAACTAATATTCGTTGAGTGCCCACTATGTGGAGCCAAGGAACTTAGGAATTGTGGCATTTAATCTTAATCTGTAAAACCTGCTTCTGCACCAAGGACACCGCTTAACCCTGCGGTTCTTTTTGAGAAGAGGTTGTTTGCTAATGCTCCCACACTTCACATGTCCCAGGCTCAAGTGTTGGGGTCAGCATCTCCAGAGCACAGCTCACTGTATGGGAGCTGGTTCCCATCAGAGCAGACGAGTGAGAGAGCAAGAGAGGACCGGCAAGACGGAGGCTTTATAATCTATTATAACCTCAAAAGGAACATTCCATCTCGTCGCTACATTCTATTCATTAGGAGTCCAGACTGCACTCAAGAAGTGGGAGTCACACAAGGGAATGAATACAGGAGCAGGATCATTGGTGATCATTTTAGAGGTTGCCTATATCACACACTGTTCTTTAAGTAGAATTCAAAGTCCCTGGACCTCTCTATCCTCTGTTTATCTGATCCCTTTACTGAGAATTTCTTTTGTTAACCCAGCCAAGATCTCCAGCTCCATAGGGTCTGCGTTGTATCATTGTTTCACTAAGACTTTTTTTTAGAGCAGTTTTAGGTTCACAGCAATATTGAGAGGAAGATACAGATTTCCCCTATACTTCCTGCCATGCACTTGCATAGCGTTTCACATTATTAATATCCACCTCCAGAGTGATACATTTGGACTTTGATACATCATAATCACCCAACATCCACCGTTTACATTAGGGCCCACTTTTGGTGTTGCACATTTTCTGGGTTTGTACACAAGTATACTGGCATGTATCCATTATTAATAGTATCATACAGAGTATTTTCACTGCCCTAATAAGAAAATCACTGGTCTTGTTTAAAACCTATTTTCCTCTTAATTCCAACTCCACTGTCTTCCGCACTCTCAGTGATAAGGCCTCCACCTTCACAGAGATAATAAATGCCATCAAGAATTCCTTCCAGCCAGGACTGGTTTGGCTCAGTGGATAGAGCGTCGGTCTTCGGACTTAAGGGTCCCGGGTTCAATTCCAGTCAAGGGCATGTGCCTTGGTTGCGGGCACATCCCCAGTGGGGGTTGTGCAAGAAGCAGCTGGTCGATGTTTCTCTCTCATCAACGTTTCTAACTCTCTGTCCCTTTCAATTCCTCTCTGTGTAAAATCAATAAAATATATTTAAAAAAAAAAGAGAGAGAGAGAAAGAATTCCTTCCGTTACCTACCACCAAATCTAAAAACTTATCTTTCTTCTCATTCCTCTCTTTCTCTCCCTTTATACAAAGAAAAAACTTATACTGTTTACCTAAACTCTGTGTTCGGGATCTACCCGCTCCATCTATGGAAGGACTCTTTCTCTCCTCTCCCCCCCGCCCCCCCCCCCCGCTCCACCCCCTCCTGAGAAGAAGGGTGAGGGAGAGAGAGATAAATGCCATTGATGAGAGAGAATCATTGACCCGATGCCTCTTGCACTCCCACTCTGGGGATCAAACTCATAACCCAGGCATGTGCCCTGACCAGGAATCACAACATGATTTCCTGGTTCATAGGTTGAAGCTCGACCACTCAGGACTCTCTTAGATAATTCCCTCTTCTGTTTTTATTGCCTTTCAATTTATGCTAGATTCTTCCCATTAGCATTTAAATATCAAATTTCTTGTAAAAATAAATCTTTACTCTTCATTCTTCTTCAGATAGCTCTCCTCCCTTCACAAAAAACCCTCTTGGTGAAATTCTTTGTCTTTTTGCTCCTACAATCTTAACCTTGCTTTCAATCCTCTGCCCACTGCACTCTATTGTTCTTATTACTGAAACTGTTCTCTCCAAGGTTACTAATGATCACCTGGTGCCTCCATTCAATGGACATTTTTCACACTTCACTTTGCTGAGCTTTCCACAGCATTTAACACTATTTGCTTTTTGAAGAGTCTTTTTCCTTCCCACACTCCATGTATTCCTCCCACGAATCTAGCAGCGCCTCATCTCCATTGTGAATGACTCTTCTGTTGCCTGCCCCTTCATATTGATGTTCCTCTGGGCTCTTCTCAACGCTTCTTCTTTTCTAATTTGAAACATTCTTTCAAAACATCCATCCATTCCCATGGCTTCATGCTAAGGATTCACAGATATATAGAACCTGTTCAAATCTCTCTCTTGAGTTCTAAACATGTATATCCAGTGACACTCTAGATATCTGCCTGTGGCTGTGACCTTGGAAATTCAAGTTCAATGTGTCTCACAAGGAACTTATTATCTTTCCTCCCCAATCTGCTCTTCTCTTGTTTGTGTCTGAGCCCAAATAATGACACTCAAAGCTACCCAGTTGCAAGCCAGAAATCTGGAAATCATCGGTAACTCTCCCCTTACCCCTCATTCCTCATTTCTTAATAAACCTCTGAAATATGTGAGATACACAACAGCACAGTCAAGTACACAGCCTTGCAACCAGACTGCCTGAGTTCACATACAATCACTGCCTAACCACGAGCAGGTGGTGTAGTACCTTTATTCCATGGATTTCTCATCTGTAAAATAAAGATAATAATAGGACCTACCTCCAAGGGTGGTATTAAGGATTAAATGAGTCAGTATATGCTAAACACAGAGCAATGCCTGGATCTATGTGTTAAATTTGGTATGATTATTAAATATCTCCTGTTGCTTAAACATGACGTATTTTCACCTGGATTGTTGCATTAGTCCTATAAGAGAGCTTCCTACCACCAGTGCTCCTTACCTACACCCCATCCATTCCTACTTCAACCAAAGTGATATTTCTAAAGTGCAGATCTAAACGTGCCTCTCTATTCCCCAAATCTCTCCTGTGGTTTCTCAACCAGCTCTTTTCTCACAGCGCTGCCTCTCATAGTCTGCACAGGCCAAGTGGATGTGGTCTTTCAAGGAGTCGTGCATTGGTTTTGATAGGGGCAGAAATAAATTATTGGGAACCAGCTATAATTGTAAGAAATATTAACTATGCTCTATTAACCGTGATTGTTTCGTTCTGTTTAAAGAAAGCACACGGGACCTGGGAGTTCACCTGGAAATGCAGCCCATCCTCCCCATTTGGAGCTGCCTCGTTGCCAAAACCAGAATCACTAGCCCCTTGAAGATCCCCGAACCTTTTGCATTCCCACAGGCCTTTGCAAATCTGCAGACCAGTAAATTACCCATTTGGCATACCTTTTGCCTACTTTCACCTGTAATCTTTGTCCTTCTACTCTGTATAAGCAGTTGGCTTATGGTGGGGGACAAAGCAGATTTTTGTGGGTGACCTGCTGCTTTCCCATACTGCCAGTAGTATTGGAATAAATACTCATATATGATTCAACCCTGTCTCTGCTTAATTGGCTCAAGTAGTGACAGGCAGCATCAACCCATTGGTTGTCTGGTTACAATTTCATATTATTTCTTTCTTTCTTTTTTTTCTTTTTTTCATTTTAGAGAGGAAGGGAGAAGGAGAGAGAGAAACATCAATGCTGACAGAAATCATTGATCAGCTGCCTCCTGCATGTCCTCCTGCATGTCCCCTACTGGGGATTGAACCTGCATCCCAGGCATGTGCCCGTGACTGGAATCGAACCCAGGACCCTTCAGTTCACAGGCGAACGCTCTATCCACTGAGCCAATCCAGCTAAGGCAGTTTCATATTATTTCAAATCCATTTGTTTAAGTAAAGTTGATTATAATAATGACAAAGAAAAAA